AGGTGGCCGTAATACGTAACATGGTTCAGAGCTAATAATTTCGTTTTTCTTTTTGGTTTAGAACTAATAATTTCTTTTCTGTTTAGGATGTGAAGCTAAATTCCGTAACAAGGATTACGAAACACAAATCCTTTTGAGATATGTCGGCGATACTTTATCGGTAAGTTCCTTCATTTTCCGTTGCGTTTATGATTCTTCCTTCCCAAACTAGTAACTTGTTACTGTTGATATCGATACATTATGCATCATGTAAATAGTTTACCTCAATAATGATTGCTGTTTATTGAACAGGTTTTCACCGACATTGCCGGTAAATACGAGTGGAAACTGTGCATGAGTGTGAATGGAGTGCAACTACCAACTGGCTACTATTTCGGGATTAGTGCGGCTACGGGAGATTTGTCGGGTGGGTTTGACGAAGTTATAGAATCGCACGAATCCTGTGTCGTAGATATGGTGTGCAGGAGCACGCACGTTCAAAAAAGTGTTCTTTGAATCTAGCTGCTGGTCAAGTCTGTTGCGAGAACAAGTTTTTCTGATGCCTTTTTGCGGGCGATGTTTTTTAACCTACGACAAACGTGCTCTTCATTTACTTTACTAAAGCGAGAGATTACGATAAGATTGGACTGGGTTCATAGTGGAAGTGGAGATGCTGAATAATGCCCCAGTGGCGAAAAAAGCAAAGAAATCCGTCAAGAACGCGCAAAATGGGACCCCTTTCTTTGCCCGTTGACCTCCGATAATGGAAGCTGGCAACCAAGGGAGGTAATTCAGGGAAGATGCGCTTTTTGAAACGGTTTGTTGCATGCTATAGGCCGATGTCAGGCTTTGCGAATCGCGCGATTCGCAAAATCTGACATCGGCCATAGGAACTCGTGCGTGTACTACAGAACCAAGGTCCATTTTCGCTGAACGGCCCCGAGAAGGCCAAAAAGTGGTGAGGAAATGGTCCAAGGATCAATCCCCGTGATGACAAAATTTTTGCATTCTAGTTGGAGCTTTCTCCAAATAGCACCAACGCTAAAAATAGGTGTCATGACCACCGGTAACTATTACACTCAAATTTTGGCTATAATCTGGCGAAAAAAGTCTTAACGCCAGAAGGGCGAAATATGGTGCCGAAGCGGCGTAAATTTCCTCTCTATTCTCCGGGTCATTTCTCTCTATATCCACTGTTCCATTTTCTAGGGTTGACTCGGGGGGGGGTCTTCGTTTCTCCTCACTCACACTAATTTTCGAGGCGACTAAAGTGGGTATCGACCCCCCCCCCTACAAACATGCAACCAGTAACGACCCCCCCCGTTGTACTCCGTATCTATCAGTGTTTTCCGTACCGCGCTCGTTTCAAGCTGTCTTCGCAGGTCGTGCATCATGCTGTGACCTCACCTCCTTTTTTTTTGTTGCGGATCCCAAATCTTGATTCCCGTCGAAATTTCTCTGATGGGGTGAACCAAAGTGCTGGTCATGAATGTGGCGTCCTTTTATGGCGCCATTTGACGCCACGCTGCAGATTTATTCTGCCACTTTCTGATACAGTGCGTTTCATAATTATAATAAGGTCGCCCTGTAGAAGTGATTCCACTATATATGCATTGTAGTCCACGTGAGAGCCTACAGCTTGCAAAAAAAACGTTTTAAAAAGCGCGGCTTGTCCCGGCACCTTCCTTGTAGGGGGCTTTTTGCACATGAACTGATAGCCACCATTGTGGCAGCAAAGGTCATACTTTCATTGACGATGAATTCCATGAGCAGTGTTATAGGGATACACACTCGAAGTGGAATATCTCCTCCAAATGGTAAGAACAGTGATGCTGCTGGCAACAATAATGAGCGGAGCACAGGCGGCAGAGGCGGAGCTCAGGGAGGTTGGCAGCCTCAGGGCGCTGAAAATAGCACGCCTTAGGCCACGAAAGGCCGCATATCGCACCTCTGAATACTGCTTCCACTGTGCCATGTACTTCATGCTTGACGACGTACACTGTTATCGTAATCCTCTGCTTTAGTGTAATCACCTATGTTAGCCTAGCAAGAATAGTAGTTACCGAGCCGTGAGCAAACACATTTGGCAGAATGTGGACATGAACCGTATTCAAATTTAAATTTAGTTGCGTGATAGCAAACAACAGAGAACAATAGTAGGCGAGTCGGAAAATTTAAGTGCAAAGTACAAACAAGTATTGGCCATCAACGGTCTGCTGTATATTGTGAGGCATCTAAGAGGAGATATTGGCGACAAGCTTTTCCACCTCGACATGAAGGACTTCCAATCAGGGTCAGCCGTCCGTTCGCAGTATTCGAAGGATAGGGTCGCATTTTGGGGTTGAGCAATGTTTTCATAATGGGAACGTTGGCTCACGGAGGTCGTTGTGTTTGAAGGGGTTTTTTGGCGAATTTAGTTCAAATTTCACGAAAGTAGTGAGATTTGCCGTTTCATGATACCAATATTTCCCCTCCTCCGCTCGACGGCGGCTTTGGAGAGGAAAGTGAGCGGAGTTGGGCTGTGTCGACTAGTCTCAGAATCAAATACTATAGAAACAGCCATGATGGTGAGGGTGGTGGTCGGAGAAGGGGGAAGGGGATCGTATGGGGGAGCTTTCTAAGACTGGTGTAGTGTGGGGGTCGCATCGAGATCCCATTAAAAGGGTGGGTGGGGGGGGGGGGTGTCGCAAAATGAAGAAGTGCGAACGTGGCGGTTGACTCGGCGCACTAGTCCCTATTCTACATAGCAGGGTACAAACTAAGTAAGACATTCTTAGCGACTGGTACATTCCCCGCTGCATGAAGACATAATACAGGCACGCTCGCTTGCGCAATGAATTCCCACTTTCAGCTGCAACTTCCCACATATACCACGACCCACAAAACTCCAAAATCGTCGAATATTCCATTTGATCGCAGCTCTCAGGCTATTATCCTCATTACTTTCAGCACAAAACCTTATTATCCTCGTAATTCGTCCATTTTAGCTACGGTGCAGATTTGACTGTGCTTTCTTTGTTCCTTGTGTATGGGACTTAGGCGGCTTAAGTGGCGCCATTTGGGGCGAATTCCGGGTCAGATCTTGCCTGAACCATCTAGGCCGTTCACCCTTAGAGGTCTATCAAATAGCAACGAATTTCTTTGGAATGATGAAATGATGCCGACCATGTCGTCTTCTCGTTCCCTGAAGCTATTCGCATTTGAATTACACCACTTGAATAGGAAAAGTATCCGAGGCGCAGCCTACAGTAGGGTTGTCAGCTCCGGAATTTTATCCTGTGCTAGTTTAGTTGGTTAATTATCCCACTGCTTCCCAGAGTGGAACCTGATTCCGAGCTTACTCTATACCATAAATACCACTTCTCTACACTCTGAGCTGCTACCGAGCATTCCCACTTTCTTCTTGCTTTCTGGCTCGCGCTTCCCAGGGCTGCTACTTATCAGGCGACGCATTGAAATTGGGTCAAAGCGTTTGAATTCGGAGAAGAAAACAAATTATCGATAAAATGGATGGAGTAGAAAGGAGAATGTTATTGTCATAGGTGGAAAAGGCCAAAAAGAGTTCCTAGTGAAGGCACTCCGAGAACCAAGTGGAATTCCCGTCGCCAACATTTGTGACAGATGTACGGCGGGAATTTGAACGCGTAACAGTCCTTCGGGTTTTTCGAATTGTTTACGGGAACAAACATAAATGTGCAATGTGTCATTTTCATTCATGCATCATCTTATAGGCTCATAGTGAAGTACAGGATTAGAAGTCAAAAATGTCGGCCTTATTTAACTTATTTAATATCAGACCACGGTGTTCATACAGTGAGTCGCGGCTATCATAGCAGCAGTAGACGTCATCCTTATAGTTCACCGCATTTTCGGTTATAGAGTCCATTTCATGTATGTCAACTTGCCTATCGTTCTTATTGTTTTTGGTGGTCACCTCTCACTGACGAAATTTCCCTGAGCGTTTGTTAGCTAATCTTCTCAGAACTGCACACCCACCCACGTTTCACTTTGTCCGCTACTCAAACTCCGAATGCCTAATGATCATAAAAGGCGAACGATTAGCCTACAGGATTCAGATGTTTGTGATCGAATCTGACTTATTTTTTTTTATGTAAATCAGAGTTACATCTCACAACTGGAGTACATGTGGTGAGCCGGCGATCTACTTCGTGAGCGGAATTGCACGCTGTTCTCGTATCACCTATCATCACTCGTCTTCGAACCAGCAGTCTGAGTTGGTGAATGACTCACATCGACCTGGAAGATTGATGAAGAGGCGAGGAATTTGAGGATAGGTCAGGAGATCTCGATTGCGTGTGCGCGACTGACAGCGCATGGATCAAGGGGGAGAAGCGAAGAAAATGAATCATCGTGCCATT